AATGACCATATCAACAATTTGGAAACGTGCTTCCGAAAATAATTGTCAAGGAGAATCTTATGCTAATGCTGATTCTTTGAAAAAACAAAACTGTGGACATAAATGCAAAGATTATGGAGAAAAACTTGAAAAACGTAGACATATTCCTCTTAGCAGAAGAGGCACCATATTAGCCATTGATAATATTTCTCCCGAAATACTGGATAATACGTTTCTGTCACTTCAACAAGTTATGCTGGAAGCAATGAAGAACGATGGCTCCAATAATTTTAAGCTCACACATACAGGGAAAGCAAAGCTTCGCAGCCAAGGGATCCTACCTACAAGTTTGAAATGCAGTAACGAAATTACTGAAAAATCCAGAAACTATCTGAACACTCAAAATAAAAATTAGGAGTACTATTTTTAATTTATTGTTTAATCTAGTTTTTTTATAATAAATGTTGCGTTCTATATTTATTTTCTTTTGCTACTATTATTATGGGACAAATTGTATTCATCAACTGCTACTATTATTATGGTACAGAGGGAGTATTTAAAGAAAGCTCACAAGCACTAGCTGGTTTGGCTCAGTGGATAGAGCTTCGAAGGGTCCCAGGTTCGATTCTGCTTAAGGGCACACGTCCAGGTTGCAGGCTCAATTCCCAGTAGGGATGTGCAGGAGGCAGCTGATCAATAATTCTCTCTCATCATTGGTGTTTCTATCTCTCTCTCCCTCTCCCTTCCCCTCTGAAATCAATAAAAATATATTATTTAAAAAAACTCACAAAACTGACAAGACCCAGGTGGTGCATGCAAGCCCCCAAGTTCCCAAGACAAAAGGCCTATGCCTTGTCCTGTGGTGATCGCAATTTCAGCTGGGCATTACCTTAAGGTGGAGCCCTAATGCCCAGGACTTCAGATGGAGCTGTTTTTGGAGATAGGACTTTTAAAGAGGTAATTAAAGTGAAATGAGGGTCCTCCCCTTATATGACTAGTGTTCTTAGAAGAGGAGGACATTAGCCCTGACCGGTGTGGCTCAGTGGATAGAGCGTCGGCCTGAGGACTGAAGGGTCCCAGGTTCGATTCCAGTCAAGGGCATGTACCTTGGTTGCGGGCACATCCCCAGTGGGGGGTGTGCAGGAGGCAGCTGATTGATGTTTCTCTCTAACTCTCTATCCCTCTCTCTTCCTCTCTGTAAAAAAAAAAAAATCAATAAAATATATTTTTTTAAGAAAAGAGGAGGACATTAGAACACAGATGCACACAGAGGTACGGCTATGTGAGGACACAGGAGGAGATGGCCATCTACACACTAAGGACAGAGGCCTCTGGGGAACCAGCCCTGCCCACACCTGGATCCTGGACTTGCAGCCTCCAGGTGTCATATTGGAAATTCAGTGAGCTAAACAGAAGACGCCACAGTCAGAGGACAAAATTTGGAGTCTTTATTACAAACACCGGCGGCAGCAAGAGCACTAATGTCTCTCCAAAACCTTGCGGCCCCGAATGAACTTAGGGGTTAGCTTATAAAGGCAAAAAACCCATGTGCTGGGATGGGGGCAGTGTGCTTAGCAGATATCCCGTAGAAAGATTGCAGCCTTGAGCACAGCTCAGATAACCAGAAGACACCTGGCATGGGAGGAACCAAGGACAGACCAGACTCCCATGCCGGCAGAGCGGCTTGCAGGACCAGATAATTAAGAGGGGGCAGTAACTAGATTATAGGCCAGGGGTTCTCAACCTGTGGGTCACGACCCCTTTGGGGGCCGAACGACCCTTTCACAGGGGTCGCCTAAGATCATCGGAAAACACATATATAATTACATATTGTTTTTGTGATTAATCACTTTGCTTTAATTATGTTCAATTATGTTTAATTATGTAACAATGAAAATACATCCTGCATATCAGATATTTACATGACGATTCATAACAAAAGCAAAATTACAGTTATGAAGTAGCAACGAAAATAATTTTATGGTTGGGGGTCACCACAACATGAGGAACTGTATTAAAGGGTCGCGGTGTTAGGAAGGTTGAGAACCACTGCTATAGGCTGATAAGAATATACATTAGGTTACTGGCACAGATTCAGATTGCTAGTCCCTCCCCAAAAATGTCTTATTTTTCCCATTATTCAAGCAAGCATGCTTACAGAAGCTAGAAATAGCAGAGTTACTTCTATCAGGGAGGCTATCTGGTTTAGTTACTTCCTGGAATTAACAGAACAAAGGACCATCTGTGTTTAGTGAAAAATTTTAAATGGCCGTTCTTACAAAATGGAGGTACAGGAACTAGATAGAGTGCCTATGATTCAGATGGAGGGCGAGGGACAGGATGGAGTTGGTCCTTCCAAGGCCCATTGTTCACAGGACTGGGAGAAATAAATGTCTGTTTAAGCCCCCAGTCTGTGGTATTTGTTATGAAGCCTGAGCCGAGAGAGACGTTCCAGAATAGAGCCTCCATTTGCACCTTCCCTCTCAGCTGGGATGCCCTTCACCAGCTCTGGCTGATGGGGTGTATATTAGTTGGTGTTCTCCAGAGAAACAGTACCAACTTGTGATATATAGAGAAAGATGAATTACAAGGAATTGGCTCATGCAGTTGTGGAGGCTCAGAAGTCCCGGGATCTGCCATCTTCAAGATTCAGGAGAGCCAGTAGCCTAAGTTCCGACCTGAGTCCAAGTCCAAGGACAGGAGAAGACCAATGTCTGGACATCCCGTCCAGAATGTTTGAATCCAGAATGTTCTCCCCCAAACACAAATCTGCCCAGTGCCTCCCCTATCCACTTGGCTTCATGGCTCCTTTTCAGATGGTAGGGCCCGTGCCCTACTCCCCACCCCTTGTAGACCCTTTCACCATCAGATGTGGAACACTGACCTTCAGGACCCCGGCCAGGCTCCTGTCCCTGCGGGAGTAGAGGCCTGCATTCCTTGCTGGCCCTCTCCAGCCATTAGGGCTGTTATGAACCCCAAGTTCCACTGTTCCCCACCCAGATGCCATTTCTCTGAGCTCCTGAGGGCCTCTACCAAAAAGGAGACCTGGCTGCAGAGTACTGACAAGGAAGCATGGAGGGACTGTGGAGAGAGTGCCCACGCACAGGCGTTCTTGCATGTCCATTACTACCAGCTTCGCCACTCTCTGTGCCCATTCCTACCCGTAGGCGCCAGGTATGGCAGGGCAGCCTCCCCATGGACCTAGCCTCCCTGGTGACCGCAAAGCCAGGATCACAGTCCTAAGTCCAAGACTGCTAGTTCTGTGGACCAAATTCTTTTGGAGAGGTGAACTGTATGTCGAGCTCTGGATCCAGATTGGAGTCGCCCTCCAAGACTTCCTGGGGCGGGGCTCCCCTGGGAGAGGGCTCCTGTAGGAGCAGGGCTCTCCTGCAGGCCAGTCTCCACCGGAAGTGCAGCTCACCTAGGGGCAAGGCCCAGCCTGGAGACGGGGTGCCACTGGGGGCAGGGCTTGTCTAGGAAGGGGCGCACCTAGGAGCGGTGCTCAGACAGTCTGACGGACCCCACACAGAAGAGGGACTCAGCTTACAGTTGGCATCTGACCCGACGCAGGCTGAGGTTAGGGTCAGGGTTCAGCCTGACTTGAGCTGTGGATGAAAGGGGCCATATGCTACCTGACAAGCTCAGGGAAGGCCTGCATGGCAGTCTTGCAAACTCTAAGACCTAAAGTAACCACAAAGGATGGTCTGAAATTAAACTTTAACTAAAAGCAGCTTATGATGGGTAGTCACCGCCTAGGCCCGTATCTTCCCTGACAAGGTCAATCTTTATCTTAACTGAGCTTACTGTCTTTTTGCATCTATGCTAACATATCATTGAAATGTCAGAGTAGCTTGTAACTTCCCTTTTTCTGGACCCCTCAAAGTACAACCACATGCCCTGAGCGCCAGGACAGAGACCACAAATTCCTTCATTGTTATTGTTACCGTGTTAATTGTTAATTATCCTGCACCCACCTAAGCAAAAGAAGTACGTGTCTATCATTTTACTTTTTATCCAATCCCAGAGGTTTCCCCACCCCTTTGCTTCCTCCCGCCTGCCTAGTTTATCACCAATGGATTTCATGTAACCCACTTAAGTCTCCTCCTTTGATGTAATATATAAAACAAGGTGAAAAACCACCATTCTCTGGAGCATTGTCCCAATCCGTTGTGATTGCTTCCCAGCAATTGGTGATAGTTTGGCTCAAATAAACTCACAAAAATCCTAGCAGCGGTTCTCAACCTGTGGGTCAAGACCCCTTTGGCGGTCGAACGACCCTTTCACAGGGGTCGCCTAAGACCATCCTGCATATCAGATATTTACATTACGATTCATAACAGTAGCAACATTACAGTTATGAAGTAGCAACGAAAATAATTTTATGGTTGGGTCACAACATGAGGAACTGTATTTAAAGGGCCAGAAGGTTGAGAACCACTGCTTTACAGATTTGAATGTTTTTACGTTAACAGGGCTTGGCCCTGGAGGCAGCAAAGAGAGGTTTTCAGCCAGGAGAGGTTATCAGGACCTGAGCTGGGCCTGAGGGAGGCTGGGAGACAGCTGGGGTCACCGAAGTCTAGACCAAGGTGGCTCCTTGCAGACAGCAGCTGATTTCCCCACCTCCCTTGCCCACCTCTGCTCCTCACCAAAGCCACCTTTGCAGGTTCCCCTGAGACAGCAGTGCCCCTCTGTCCCCTGAGCCACAGGCCAACCTTGACTCTGAGTGTTCGGGCCTGGCCTGCTCTTTGTTCTTACCATCCGTCTGCTTGGAGGGGCCCACCTGGCCCGCTGCCTGGCACTGAACTGCCCCCGGGTGTCTCTCAGGAGCTGCTCTCCAGGCTAGCCCGGAGCTTAGCTGTGTACCTGGAGGCCAGTGATGGACATGCACACACGTTTGCACACACCAACCGGATACATGCATGCATATGCTTGTACACAGCACATGTGCACACATGTCATATGCACATACATACATACATACATACCCGTGCATACACACACATCACACACCACACATACAGTTATAAACAAAAGTTAGGTTTTTATTTGGGAGTCTGTGTCTGAATTAGGAAAGGGGGCTGCAGGGCTGGGAGGCCCTGGGCAGGAGCCCCTAAGCCCCTTCCCCCAACACGGCCAAAGCCGCAGCTCTTGGCCACCACCCTGTTGGTCTCAGTAGCAAGGCAGACTGACCTCCCAGTGGAAGGCCCCAGCCAGACAGCCATGAAGCTCTAGGGGGCGTGGCCGAATCCACTCCCATCTGTCTGGGCAGGGACCCGGGGCAGGATGCAGGCCCGCCCCACACTCGCGGGAGGAGGACCGGCAGCTTATGAGCTGGTGCCCAGAGGGCCAAGGAGGAAGGAGGCGCAGGCCCGGGCTGCCTCGGTTTCCCCTACTGTAGGAAGAAGACTCAAAATTGCTTCCGTTCTGCAGGAAGCAGCATGTGGGCGGGAGGCGGGTGGCTGGGAAAGGAGCCACATTGGCTGCTGCAGGGAGTGGGGACAGCATTGTACCCCGAACGCCCAGGCCAGACACCTCTGGCGTCATATCTGGGCTGCTGCCAGGGAGCAGGGAAGAGGCTGGACCCTCTGTTCAGAGACGTCCTGAGGCGCTGGCTGGGTCCCAGAGAAGCTCTGAGGGAAGGATTGGGCACCTGGGCCAGAGAGGCTCAAGGTGGCTCTGTAGGGGCCGATAGGGGTGGTGGCGAGGGCAGTGCCCTAGCCACAGTCCAGCCCACTCTTCAGGGTTTACGAACCAGAACTGGGGACCCTTGTGGTTGCCAGGCCCATCCTCCCCTCTTATCCCGGACAGAGAGAGGGTTCAGGTGGGAAGGGGTAGCGCTACAGAGCAGAGGGTGCCCTTCCCAAGGGAGAGGGCGGCCGGCTGAGGAGAAGGAGGAGGGGGAGGAGGAGGTGGAGACGGCAGGTGATGCTCTGTGTCCAGCGCGGCCAATACCCAGCTTCATCCCAGAGTCCCCAGCCAATGCCGGCGTGAAGGGAGGGCCGAGCACTGGGGCGGGGCCTCAGATCCAGACGGTGGCCTTCCCCTCCCTGCTGCTGGCACTGCCTTTCTCGGAGCCCGCCCTAGGTTTGGCGCCCGGCCGGCCCTGGTCCCCGCCCGTGCCCCCCGACGTGGCACTGCCTGACCCGGAAGCGGAGGCGCCGGCCCTGGGGGGCCCCCGGGTGGCCGCGGGGAGGCCGGAGCAGGGCGGGTGGTCACGGTCGCCGAGCGCGCGCGCATCCCGCAAGGTCCGCAGCGCGGGGCTGGGCAGGTCTTGGTCGTGGGCGCGCTCCCTCAATACCAGACTGTAATCGGGGGGTAGGAAGGGCTGGGAAGAGAGTGTGCAACGGCAGTTATTGGGGGTCTCGTTGTTCGTTTTTATTTAGATAGGTATTTGCTGTTCAGGGGTTTTTTTAGTGCAAAAG